TCCTGGGCACCGGGGAGCATGGCGCTGCCCTGCCTGCAGCGCGGTCGAGCTCGTGCTGTTCGCCGCCGCCTTCCTGTGCGGGGCCTTGGCGGCCGCGACGCTCACCCGGACCCAGGTGGGGCGGGCGGGGGGGGGGCCGGGGGCGCGGGCCGCTCTAACCCGAGACACCGCTCAGCCGGCCGGTCCGCCGCGGCCAAGTGTCGGCCCTGAGCGACTCCTCCCAGGTCGAGTCTAAATCCTTCTGTCGCCAAAGGGCCGCCTTCGGGCGTGTCCTGGGCACCAGGCGCGGCCCCACCTGGGGGCTCCCGGGCGTCCTCCCCCGGGTGTTGAGACAAATCGGCGAGGCCCTGCCTTCGCCCGCCCCTGAGACCCGAGGTGCTGAGCTGCGCCCAGAGGACGCGGGGGAAGGGAGCCGACCAGTGGCCATGTGACTGCACGGGCAGCGGGAGTGACAGCGATGGGGAAAGAGCCAGGGAACCAGCCGGTGCTGTACCCGGTGTACCCCAGGCAGCAGGGCTCGCTAGGACACAGGCCCCGAACCCCAGGAAGCAGGCACAGGCTTCAGGTTAGGGAACGCCGGAGGCTGGGCTGTGAGCAGTTCAGTGTATTTATAACCGCCGCCTGTTTCTCGATCCTCTGGCCACCGCGGGCGTGATCGGCCCAGCAGGTCCCCTAGTGGCCCAGAAAGGAACTGACTGCAAATAGCTGCCTGGGGTGGCCCGGCCCAGGTTACCCCGGCACCTGCCCCCGTGGCGCTCCCCCGAGATCAGCACTCAGCGGCTTCTCTCCGCAGGGCTCCTTCAGTGGCCGCTGTCCCCTGTATGGCGTGGCGGCCTTGAACCGCTCCTCCCTGGCTTTATCCAGAGGCTCAGCCCCCTCCCTCTGCTACTTTGTGGCTGGGGCCTCTGGCCTCCTGGCCCTCTACTGTCTCCTGCTTCTGCTCTTCTGGGTCTACAGCAGCTGCATCGAGGACTCCCAAAGGTGACTGCCCCACTCTGAGGGCCAGGGGCGAGGTGGGGGGAGTCCCACCTCCACCACAAGGCTGTTCTCTCCCTCCTCATAGAGGCCGGATAGGGCTCCGCATTGCACTGGCCATCTCGGCTATAGCCACCTTCCTGGTCTTAGTGTCGGCCTGTGTCCTTCGGTTTGGCACCAGCTCTCTCTGCAACTCCATCACCTCTCAGAACGCTACAATTAGGTAATGGGAGATGGGGGAAGCCTGACCCCGCGGGGCCGCCTTCCCTCTGCAGAGGGGGTCCTGTACTCCCGTTTTATTCCAGTCGATTATTCTCATCTCAAAGGGCGCTCAGGCACAAGAGTATTTATTTGGGATATATCCCCCCCTTTCTCACAACTGTCTTTTTGACCTCACAGCTGCTCTGAAGCCCAGAAAATTCCATGGACACCCCCTGGAACCGCTCTGCATTTTTACTCCAACCTACACAATGCTGAAGTGAGGTCTTGGGATATGAAGGACTGAGTGGAGGCCCAGGGATACGCAGATTCGTAGAGGCACCTGTATAGTTTTAGGGGTGCCCACCAGTGAGGCTGAGAAGAGCTGAAGGGCTTGGCAGCCTGGCAGCCAGCAGTTCAGAGCGATGTGTGGGCGGAACTGGATTGAGGTGACCCCGCTCCTCACACCTGTTCCTGTCTCCCACAGAATTCTTCTTGGGTCAATCTGGTATTGTGGTGTGTGGTCCTGGTGCTCCAGGTCGTGCAGTTGAAGTCTGAAGCCACCCCATACCGGCTTCTGGAGAGGGGGGACCCTGAATGGAGCTCTGAAACAGATGTCCTGGTTGGGCCACGCCTTTCCCCTTCCTGAAGAGCAAGCAAGCTGAGTGCTTCCTGCAGCCATTGGCTCCCTGCCCAAGTGCCTGCAATCCTCCTGCCCCCCTTGGCCCTGTTATGCTGAGAGCCTCAGTTCCCTCGAAGAGGGAAACATGAAGACAGCCCCCCTCCACCTCTTCTTACAGCTGTTTTTGTACCAGAATATTATTATATGACTTCCTTCATCTTGGTGCTGTGTCCTTAGTATGAAAGCACTGTAGGCAGATGGATGGGAGGAAAGAGTAAAGGCTAAACAGGTCAAGAGTACATTCAGGTGTCTGCCCTCAGAATGACTGCTTTTATTTGCTATGTAATCTTGGGCCCCCTTGTATTAATCTGGTTGTCACCCCGCCCCTAGGGTTCAGTTGTGTGTGTTTTTAATTATCACCTGAGGATTTGTTTTTACTGATTTTAGAGAAAGGGCAAGGGAGAGAAACATCAATGTGAGAGAAATATTAGTTGCCTCCCATATTAGTTGCCAACCAGGGATGGAACCCACACCTGGGCATGTGCTCTGACTAGAATCGAACCCAAGATCCTTCCGTTTTTTTTAAATATATCTTTATTGATTTGATTTCAGAGAGGAAGGGAGAGAGAGAAACATCAATGATGAGAATCATTTATCGGCTGCCTCCTGCATGATCTGGGATCGTGCCTGCAACCTGGACATATGCCCTGATGGGGAACTGAACTGTGACCTCCTGGTTCATAGGTTGATGCTTAACCACTGAGCCACCGGCGTGCCCAAGACCTTCCCATGCACTGGGACACTGCTTCAACCGAGCCACACTGGGCAGGACCTAAAGGTTGTTTTTATTCCCCTCTTGGAGGGGTGCGTGTCCCTGGGGGCTTTCTCACAAGCTACGGTAGGCACCCACAGTGTTGTCAAAGAGTTTTGTGTTAGGAAAATATCCAGCTTTGTCCAAGAGGAAGTAGAAGCGTCGGCCTTTGACCTTTAGAGGCACCATGGCAGGGACTTCACCCCGGTGGGCCATGCAGGATACTTGGTTCAAGGGAACAGTGAACTGCGCTCCCAAGCCAAAGGGGGCGTGAGTGGTGAGGGTCACCCGCTTCCCTCCAGCCTGCAGTATCACCGAGCGCACAGAGCGCAGGGAGAAGAGAAGTCCGGCGGCGAGGACCAGGGTACCTGCAGGGAGGAGCAGTGGGGTGAAGGGTTTCCGGGAGCGCTAGCAGCAGCCCTCGTGCCCTCTGAGTAACACGTAACATTTACAGACCCCAGATCCTTGGTAACTCATTCCTCCCAACACTACTTAATAGATGCTCAGCCCCATTCATTTTAATGAGAAAACAGGTCCCGGGCCGCAGTAACTTGCTCAAGATCGCACAGCGAAGTGGCTGACCTCAGCCTAGGCCTGTCTGTCCGAGGGCTCGGTGCTCGGACCTCCGCCTCCGGTGTCCCTCACTTCTACTGGGGGCGGCCTGCCCCCCCCTCCCCCCGCTCATCCTGGAGGGTCGGGCCCAGCTCCTCGGTGGGCAGGCAGCCCACACCTTACCGATGGCGCCGCAGCCCACGGCCAGGCCGTAGCGCCAGAGCGCGGAGCGCACGTCCACACGGCCGGGGTCTGGGGTCTCGCATCCGGAGGCCGCGCGGGGACCGGGGGTCGGGCCAAGGCGCGCCGGCCAGGGAGGCCAGAAGACGCCCTGGCCGGCGCAGAAGAGCCCCAGAACCGCGAAGAAGCGGCCCCGCTCGTGCTCGAAGAGCAGCACATCCCGCGCCGGGGCCCACTCGTGCAGGGTTTGGCGCGCGGGGAAGCCCCGCGTCGCCACGAGCAGCGGCACCAGCCACCGCCGCCCAGGTGCCGCCATGGAAGCGCAGCCTGCTTCCGGGGCGGGACTTCCTGTCGGCGGGACCCGCCCCCAGCCTCTTCATTGGCTCCGAGACAGGCGGCCCCCGTCCCAGCCCGCTTTCCCTTTAACCACAGACGAGGCAAAACGTGACACAAAATACAATCTCACTCTTTATCTTAAAAAGTAGGGGAGGCGGGATCCTGGGGTGAAGGGCACAGAGCACCTCAGTCCTGCGGGTGGTTTAGTGTCAGTTCTACACGGCGCTTTGGCTTCCTGGCCCCAGCGGGGCTCCACTTTCTGGAAATCGTCCAGGGGCTTCGGGAAGGCAGGCGACGGGAGGTGCGCGGCCTCCCTCCTCCGTCACAGTCCCAGTCCCGGCCTGGCCAGGCCGGAGGAAGAGCCGACTACCATGGCAGGGAGACGTCGCTATCCGGGGCTATTTACAGGGGCCCGGGCGGCCAGGGTCACTTCATGAACGCCACTTCCGGGATTTCACCCTTGGCCTGGGAGGAACAGGGGAGGTCAGCAGAGCCAGGCTCCCCGCCCCCACCCTCTTGAAGGCCCAGACCCGCTCTCCCGCGTGCATTCCCAAAGCTGACCTTGAGATGCGTGAAGGCTTGGGCAGATCTGGTGTAGTCCCAGTTGTTGTCCTGCAGGCACCTGGAGAGAGAGGCAGGCACCTCCATTAAAACCAAGTGCAGCCACCCTCGTCACTAAATGCCACTTCAAAACCCATTCCATACAAACACGTGCCCAAGTTCCCAACAATTACATACATTCTTGCACAATTAATACAAATGTAGCGTAATCCAAATGTGTATCGGTGGTCTATTGAACACAAAATACATATGAAACAGCTATCAAGACTATGCCCTGGCGAGTGTGGCCTGGTTGGTTGGAGCATCATCCCATACACTGAAGGGTAGCTGGTTCAATTCCTGGTTGGGGGCATGGGCAGGAGACAACCGATCCATATTTCTCTCTCGATCTTTCTCTTTCTCCTTCTCTCTCTCTCTCTCACATCCTCACTCTGAAATTTAAAAAAAAAGAAAAAAAAAAGACTAAGGTGACTTTTATACTGATAGTGGAAGATGTTCACGGAATAAGGAAAAAAAGTTGCACAACAGTACATATAAAGGGACTTCATTTTGTTATACTAATTTATAACATTACAAAAAATTTTTTAAAATATGTTTTTATTGATTTGAGAGAGAGAGGGGAAGGAAAAAGGGGGGAAGGGAGAAAGGGAGGGGGAACTGGGAGAGAAAAGGGGGGGGGGAGACAGACAGACAGACATTAATTAATGAAAGAGCAACATCAACAGGCTGTTTCCTGCATGCCCCTACTGGGGATTGAACCTGCAACCTGGGCATGTGCCCTGATGGGAATCGAACCAGCGACCTCTTGGTACATGGGACAAAGCTCAACCAACTGAGCCACACCAGCCAGGGCTCTTATTTTTTTTAAAGCAATAAAAATAATTTGACTTTTAACATTTCAGGAGCACTCCTTATTCACTACCAGCTCTACCTCAGTTTACCCCTCTTTGTACACATGCCCAGCACTCACTTCTGGGACCACTCGAGGTTCATGCCAGACTGCGTAGAGAACGCCTGCAGCATTTCCTGCTGCTCTGGGGACAGGGTGGGCACCGGGCTGGAGGAGGGCGTGGGCGCGGGCATGGCGAAAGCTCTCTGGATCTCGTCAGGGCTGGCATTCCGCACAAACAACTCGTCATTTACAATGCACAGCCTTGGGGACAAAAAGCGCCTTAGATAGTTGAACACACACAGGTAACCTCATCCTCCCAACATCATTCCTATTCTCACTGAAATTTCACACTCAGATCCTAAAATCCCTGTAAGGTCCCCTCTCACTCTTAGCTATTATTACCTTATTTTCAGCTATTACCTTTTATCATTTTACTGACATGGACTTTCCCATGGACTCCACAGATGCAATCATCTACCAAACACAGAATTGTACATTCTGCCCAAACCACAGACAGTTCTTGCCTCCCACCTGTCTTCACAACAGATTCAGGAAGTGAACAGTTTCACCAATCTTCAGATGAGGAAACTGGCCCTTAGCGAAGTGGGAGAGCAGGCTGAAAAGCCCAGTCAGTCCAACTCCAGAGCAAGCTCTTCGCCTCCTACTCTGATTCCTCCTTGCCTTCCTGAAATTCTGAAAATATCCGGAGGACTGACTACCCCTGCCCCTCCAATTCCCACAGCACTGGGACTAGAAGCCCATCTGATAAGCCCAACACTTACCCTGAAGTGTTGGCTGGAACAGCGACGAACGTCCGTGTGAAGGCTCGCAGAGAATCCCGGGACTTTCCATCCACTGCAACAACAATGGCAATGCCCTGAGAGGCGCTCACACTGTTTACAAACAGCTTCTCAAAACATTGTTGCATTTGATACACAGAACCCTCAGGGGCCAGAAGGGAATGATGATGTGTGTGTAGAGCTGAGGAGTGTGAGGTCAGAAAGGACAGTAATAACCACTATTGCCCACTCACAGTCTGTGTGTGACAAGCCTGTGTCAAGCTCTCTGTCACTCCACAGCACCCCAGGAGATGGCTGTTACTAACCCCCTTTGCAAATAAGGAATCTGAGGCTCAGTAGGAATGTAAATTGCTCACACACGGGACCAAGGCTGGGACAGAAGCTCAGACCTGCCTGTGTCCTCCTATTCCTCAGGCTTTCCCCACATCCCAGGCAGAAAAGATAGGCAGAGAGGAGAGGCCAAATGAAGATGGCTTGGAGACAGAACAGGAGGAGGTGAGGGAAGAGGAGGGAAGAGAAGACAGCTGGGGAGCTGAGACTGAGAAGACTAGCTGGGAAAGGACTGCTCCGAAGACAGGACTCCCAAGATGCTCACCTTCCTTGAAGACGCCATTGACAGAAAAACACAGTAACGTGTTCTGAAAGAGAAGCAGCAGTTACCATGCAGGTTCTGCACAGCCCCTCCCCCAATTCCAGGCTGTCAGGGAGGAAACATGCTCACCGTTTGGGCACTGATGTCGACCACGAAGGAATTGATGTCGTGCTGAGTCTTGGGCAACTCGTTGAGGAAGGCCACAACGTTGAGCCGTGTGTGCTTCAGCAGCCGGAACCGCAGGGCTGTGGGGGAGGAGAGGCCACGGTCAGGGGCTGCCATGCACTGCACAGCCCCCGACTCCTTCCCATTCCCTTCACCCATCCTGCTTTGCTCACATCACACACTTACTCGGGTCTTTCAGCTTCTTCACATTCCTGCTGTCCTTGAAGTACTCGCCCAAGTTGCTTCTGGGAATCAGAGGAAAAGGAGGTGGTGGTCAGGGCAGTGTGGGCGCTAGTAGGTGCCGGCCGAGATCTATCGAGAAACCTGGTCCGGGGCAGGTTCTGAGATGTGACTCTTACCGGGCAGGGTTCTGGGGGGTGAAAGGGATGCTCAGGGAGCAGCAGGCTCCATCATGGTAGGCGTCCAGGAGCCGCTGTCGGTTTCCAGAGTCATAAATGGCATAGTACCTGTGGGGAGGACAAAAGGGCAGGTCTGTGCTTCGTACAGGGACCCAACAGCTCTCAAGAGCGAGCTGTGCTGAGGCCAGCCCACCTCTCCCCAAACCTGGGGCCCGGGGACTTACTGCTGCAAGAAGTGCAGGACCAGAGTCTTCAGGGTCTCCGTTCCAAAATAGCTCCCCTGGGATCAAACAGGTGTTAGGACTGCGTCACTGATCCTGTCCTCCCTACACCAGTCCCAGCTCTGTCCCCTCGTCTCACCTTGCAGGGTGGCAACATCGTGGGGGCTTCAACGTCAAAGGCAATTGGCGGGGGTAACTCATGGCCGTCCTGCGGAGAGCGAGGTGGGAGTGTGAAATGGAGAAAAAAGGCTGGGTGAATAATAAAGTGGAAAAACTAAGAGTAAGGGGACAGAGGTCAAGTGTAAGAGACATGGAATCCTGACAGATGCCATTTTGTCAAGAAGCATTTTCCCAGGAAGGAGGATTATACTAGTACTTTTGTTGGATTTTCAAAGGGCTGCATGTCTCCAAGTTAATGGTCATACCATCACGTTAGGCAAGACATTGCTGAGAGGTACTATGCGTGTTAGAAAAGCATTAAAAAAAAAGTTATACACTTACCAAACGTAGTAATTTAGGAAATCGTTCGCGAATGGCGCTGTCAAGAACGGGACAGAAGTCAGTGATGCTTCAGAGCCACCGTGCCTCCTGGGCTGCTCTAGGAGCAAATACACCAACGCCCGAGGGGCAGCCCATCCCATTTTCCTCCTCCCCTCTCCTCCCAGCCTCTGAGCTCCAAGAAGCATGGCCCCACTCCCCACCCGGGGCGCCCAGAATGACTCCCTGCAGGCTGACTCTCTTCTCTGCCTGACCCCGAGCGCCGCAGAGCAGCTCTCAGCCCAGGCTTGAAGCCCAGGACCTCCTTTCCCTCCCTGCCCCCTTACCTTCTACCTACTCACCTGTGCAGCCCCGGGAGGAGGGAATGGGGTGGGAGCCCAGGGGCTCCGCTGCCTCAACAGGTATCCATCACTTCTGCCAGGTCTGGCTGTGGCCAAGACCAGAACACACCATAGGGATGGCACAGGATGTTGGGGCAGGGAGATGAGCCAGGCGGGGATCAAGAGGGAAGGCCAAGGAAGAAGTGAGGGAAAGGAAAGAAGGGACAGAGAGAAAGGTAGGCTGGGACAGGGCCAGAGAGAGAGATGGGGGATATACAGGGAGTAGAGAGAAAAAGAAGAGAAAGCAAAAGAACTACAAGGCATGGAAGCGTTTAGAAAAAAGAGGGAGAAGAAAGGGAAGAAGGCAGCATCCTGACACAGCCCTTTCCTTCAGCTGCCCCTTTCCCTGTGGTCCAAGGTAGAAATGGGAAACAAGTCCTGTTGCAGTGAGAGGGCAGCTGCTGTCAGCCAGTCTCTGTCTTTACCTGGGTCCCGATCTGAGCTGGGCGTGGGAAGCGAAGCAGCCATGGGGGCAGGAGACCTCCCTCAGAAGGGGTGAGGGTTCAGGCCTCTGCAAAGTTGGGGGGGTGAGGATCTGTGCCCCACCTCTGTTGACCCCCAAGTTGTCTCCTGATGGCCCCTCTGCGACTGTGCCTGTCTTAGGTTGTTCCTTCCCTGAGGAATCTTACCCGTCTCTGGCTAACCAGCCATCCTCCGGGGCCAAGCAGGGTGATGTGAGGTGTGCAAATGAGGGAGGGGCAGCGCCCTCCTGCAAGAGGTTCAGTTCTGTCTCCTTGGTAGCCTATGCCCCGTGGCCTCCACGCCCAGCACCTGCCTTGGGGTCCCCTCGCCTGCTGGCGGGGCCCCGGCTCTGGTCACATCTCTTGGGGAACCCAGGTTTCTTCTCCAGAAGGGCCCAGCTCACACCACTGGGCGAGAGACAGATCCATGGCACCGGCCACCACGAGGCCTCAACCTCAGCGTGAACAGAAAGCCCAGGCAACAGCTGTGGGCAAATGGACTGTGAGAAGAGGGTCCCTCTTGGCACAAGAGCAAGAGGGGCCAATAGAGGACAAAGGAGGAACGGCCTGTCAGCATGTAGTCCCAGGACAGGGCTTTCTCAGCCCAGGATGTCAGGCTCTTGGCACAAGACAACTCCACGTATGGGGCATATACCAGACACCTCCAGTCACGGCAGAAAAGGGAGGTGCCCTTCCTGGAACAGTAGGGTAGGGAGATTCTAGAAAAGGCTGTGTTCAGGAGAGAAGGAGAAAGGCCAAAGAACCAGCAAACAAGTAGTCAGATTTAAAAAAAAAGAAAGAAAAGAAAGAAGAAAGGAGATGTGGGCAAAGTTGGGACATATAGACAGACAAAAAGGAGGCACATGTGATCCTCCCAATGGACAGGTGGTTCCAGCTCAGGGCTGCACATCTGCTGCAGACGGGCACTGGTCAGGGTGCGCTAACTCGGCTCCCAGGGGTGATGGTCCCCAGGAGGGAGGCAGAGGCCACAACTGACCTGATGTAGGTCGATTGGTCTCGGAAGGTGTCACACAGCGTGTTTCCTTCGAGCCACAGCTCTTCCAGCTTCAACCCTTTTATCTTGTCCAATTCCCGCTCAGATTTCAACTGCAAAGGTCGGGGAGAAAAGGCAGGAAAGAGACCCTAGTCAGAGAGCCAACTAGTGCCCACACTGCAGCCTCCGTCCTCATCCCTTAAATTCCTTCTTCTGCCTCTTGCCACCACCAGGCAAGTCCTCTTCACCCTCTGCCTACCCCAAACACAACACATGCAGGTCTCAATTCTCACCTCATTCCCAGAGAGGTTTAGGATCTTTAGGTTGGGCGCTTTCTGCACAATGCTGGACATGTCATCCAGCCTATACAGCTTGTTACTGCTCAAGTTCAAAGACAACAGCTGTGGGGAGAGAAGAGTTTAGAGGAAGCATCACCAGAGAGGGGATCAGAGACACATCTGCCTCCGAACCACTCTCTCTCCCACCTGCTTCTTCCTGCCTAGTAACGGGCAAAGGCCTCACCTCAGGGATATTCTCCTCAATGATTCGCAGGGTAGCCGCCATACAGCTTTTACGATTCAGGACAACATCAATGTTCTGGGCCACCAAATCTTCAGGAAAGAAAGGCAAGTGTGAGAGGGTTTGCCTAGGCCAGCATTAACACCAAACCACTCTCAAACCTCCCGCCTGAAAGATTCCCCTCTGCCCCCACCTATCTCAGAACTGCTGCCAACAATACCTGGGTCTAAACGGAGGCCCTTGAGGTCAAGCGCTTGTTGAGAGCCATCGTATCGTTTGCTCATGATCAGCTGCAGAGGAAGAGAAAGGCTCCAGTGGTTACTGGGGTTGTGTATTTGACGGGGGGAGGGGGGGGATGGCACAGGGATATGAGAACTGCTAGGACTGGGGAGGAAACACGTGTGACTTGAAGCTGCCTCACCTTTAGCTGCTCTACTTGCTCCGGCTTCAGCTCATTCTGCACAGTAAGGGGCGGAGGAGAGGAGTTGATGATGATGGATATCTGCAGGGAAGATGTAAAGGAAGGGTGGACTCTAGGGAAGCCTAAGTCCCAGGACGAAGACCCCGTACCCTGAGTACCAGTCCCTGCCTCCAGCCAAGCCCTTTATACACACCCTTCGGTTCTCCTGATCCGAAATCTTATAGTTGATAGCCTTCAATGCAGAGGCAGTACTGGCGTCCTCAACAAAAAACTGGGCCCGTGTGTTTTCATAGTGAAACTGCAAGAGGAAACAAGAGCAGTCGACTCGGAGCCCCGAGCCCCTGGCCCACCTGGCCCCTCCCACAGCCACTCGGGCCGTATCTTACCTCAATGGGGGTGAAAGGGACACTGCATTTGCTCTGAATCATACTTAGGAGCCATGCCTTGTCATATTTCCTGCCATAAGGAATCTACATGAGAGAAAGAGAAGGGAACAATATGTAACTAAGGCTAAAGAGCAGATCCAATCTAGTGCTCCTTCATATAGCTTGCCAAGCTTGAAAAGATTTTCTAAAGAAAACACCAGTTAGCCCGTCTAGTGTGGCTCAGTGATTGATCAGGAGATCAAGGTTCGATTTTTGGTCAGGGCACATGCCTAGGTAGGGGGCGTGTAGGAGGCAGCCGATCAATGAATCTCTCTTATCATTGATGTTTCTATCTCTCTCTCCCTACCTCTCTGAAATCAATAAAAACATTTTTAAAAATTAAAGAAAACACCAAAAAACAAAGAAACCAACAAAAACAACAACAATAAAAAGAAAACATCAGTTAAAGGTTTTCTAACTCAAGCCAGACATAGATTTCTCAATCTCCCTCCTATCTGTTTATACTTATTATTCATCAAAAGAATCAAACTGTTGCCTGGCCAGCATGGCTCAGTGGTTGAGCATCGACCTATGAACCAGGTCACGGTTTGATCCCCAGTCAGGGCACATGTCCGGGTTGTGGGCTCAATCCCCAGTGGGGGTTGCAGGAGGCAGCTGATCAATGATTCTCTCATCACTGATGTTTCTATCTCTCCCTCCTCCCTTCCTCTTTGAAATCAATAAAAAGTATATATTTTTAAAAGAATCAAATTGTTTGATTCGCCAAATGGAGACATCCAGGAGTTACCCCACCACCCCTCAGCCAGTCATCACGCTTCCCTTTAGATGCCCCTCCTTTCCTGGCAATCCTGCCAGTCCCTTCCACGCCTTTTCTGAACCAGCTGTTCTGAGATACTGATCCTTAGGAGAAAGGATGGATACCTGACTGTGGAGTGAACAGCTGAGAACACTGATTTTGTGGTGTGAAGAGTCAACACCTTCGCTCTGAGCCCAGCCCCCAGCCCCCACTTCCCCTGCACCATCTACTTCCCAGATACTCACTGTAATCTTAAACCAGTTCTTCGAGGTCCCATCCTGGCTGTTGCCAGCCCCTCCTCTCTGTGGAGGAACTCTGTCTCTCCGCACAGTAACATGGATGCGGTCTCGATCATGCCAATTATCAACCCGCCGGTTGGGTCGCGCAGCATAGGGGGTGCTGTGGGGAAGCGAGAATAAGACATCGCAAATATTCAACCATTCAGCTGGCCCTGGCATTTCTCACTCTGGTGGGTAGAAGAGATGACCTGGTGTAAGAGGGCTGTGTGAAGGAAGTCACTGAAGTCAGACCACTAAGGGCAAGAGCAGCACCGTGTACTGAAGGCTGCTCAGTACCCGGATGGTGACTGAGTGGCCTGAGGGGTGGAGGGAGGTCACCGTCCAGTCACTGAGGGGAGCAGTAGACCTGGAGGCTGCGTGAAAGCCGCCTACTTACTATCGTACTCGGGGAACATCTTGGGCATCGCTCATGGCCACATCTCTGTCATCGTCCTCAAGGCGGGGCGTCCGGACGCCAGCACCCCCTCTTCCAGACCTGCGGCTCCCCTCACACTTCCACCGGAAAGGACCCCGGCCCTTCTTCCTTCTCTGAGGGAAGCTAACTCGATCATCGTGCTCTGCAGTGGGAAACAGTACAAGTTAGAAGCATTGCTGGTCTAGCTGCCCTGCTGTGACCACCGCGGGCACGCTCCACGCAGGCCCCTCGCTGTCCAGAGAAAGCACCCCTCTGTGGGGCGACCGCCTCGGGGAACCACTGGGAGGCTGCAGGGCTCTTGAAAAATAAGCAGAAGCCGGAGCCGCAGGGAAGGGAAGCAGATGGGGACGGGTGTGATTCAAAGTGGAACTGGACACACGCAGACCTGAGTCCCCTGAAACCTGCTTTCACGCAGCCCCCAACCCACCAGCCACAACCCGCACAGCGGCTCCAGCCAACAGCTGCTTCCGCCCAGTGCAAATGCCGACAAACACGGCCAGTGGGAGGTCTCTAAGGCCTGATCTCCAACCGCCCCTCGGAGGGAGCCCTTCGCCTCTTCGGCCAGAAGTGCCTTTTCGCTCAGAAGACAACCCCAGCTGCGGCTCCCGGGGCAGCGAGCCTTGACCCGGGTCCTCAAGACCCAGGACCCCCCAAAGGGCCTCACGCAGCACTGCGGACAGTGAGCTTCAAGAAATGGTCTTAGAAAAAGGAGTAAGTGAACAGGCCCAGCTAGAGAACTTCCTCCAGGCCAGGCACTAGATGCTCCAGGCACGACGTGCACGGCCTCATGTTCACACTCACACACATTTACACACACTCACACACATTTACACACACTCACACTCACACACACGGGGCACTAACTCAGGCGGCCGAGGCTGCTTCGACTGCATTAGGGGGTGGAAACGCGGCGGAGCTTAACTCTCAAGTCCGGTGCAGCCACGCCGGCCTGCAGCCTGGGCTGCCAGCGAGATCAGCCCACGCCCGGGCCCAGCAGGGCCGCCACCCAGGCCCAGGAGACGGTGCGGTCCAGCGCCGAGGTGGGTGTTAAGTAAATTGTTTTGCCGAAGTCAAAGCCGCAGGAAGCCGGGCAAGGCCACTGGACGCGACAGATAATGGGGCGCAGGCAGCCGAACGGGTCCTGACTCATATCAGAGAGTCCGGCCGCGGCTGCGATGACAGGGAGCCACGGCCCAGCGCTCAGAGGAACCGCGTCGCCGCCCCGCCAGCCACCGCCGGATCCCCGAGTCAACAACTCGCCCCCCGCCTCGAGTCCTGCCAGGCCGCCCGGGCTGCCTCGCCCCCGGCCCCCGCCGCCACCGTTCCCCGCGGGATCCTCGAGGCCTCCCGCCCCCGGGCTGCGGCCTAGGCCGACGCCGCCCCCCGGGCCCGAGCGCCCCGCCCCGCCTCTGAGCCGGGCCAGCACTCACCGTTGTAGGACTTCCCTCCGTCCGCCATGGCACAGCGAGGAGCAGGACGGGCTCAGGCGCACCGCGACGACCCCAGACGTCAGAATGCCCAGGGCCTCCCGGCACAGCGCCCCTACGCCCCGGGCCACCGCATTTATGAGGCCAAGCGCGCGGCGCGCCGTCGACGTACCCAGAAGTGGGCGGTGCCCCGGCAGCCCCGCCCACCCCCGCGCATGCGCACTGCCCGGCGCCGGATAGGGGCGGGGTCTCCGCCGCACGCCCATCCCCAGACCCGGGTCCCGAGCGCGGGGAGGTGGCTGCTTCGCCCGGCGCCTGCCTTTATCCGCCCGCTGCCCCGCCAGCACCTCCAGGGTAATCGCTGGAGCAGCAAGAAGGCTGGAGAAGGGAACGGGGACTCCGACAGGAACGGGGAACAGGGGCCACACGGAGGGCTTCCGAGGAAAGGGAGATCCGAGTGACCGCTCCCAGACCCCTGGAGGGATCCAGCCAGTGTTTGTCTCAGCTCCGCCCTCTGCCAGCTGCGGATCGATACTTCGCTTTTCTTGCCTATAAATTGGACTGTCAAGCCCCGCGTTGTGGCTCAGTGTTTGAGCATTCACCTAGCATGCCCAGGTTGTGGCCGGATTCCCAGTAAGGGGCGTGCAGCCTGATGTTTCTCATTGATGTTTCTCTCTTTTCCTCTCCCTTCATCTTTTCTCCCTAAAATCAGTAAAAACACTAGAAATACAATAAAATAAAATTAGCCCAGCCAGCATGGCTCAGTGATTGAGCGTCAACCTATGAACCAGGAGATCACGGTTCGATTTTCAGTCTGGGCATATGTCTGGGTTGTGGCCTCAATTCCCAGTGTGTGGCCTGCCCGAGGCAGCCGATCAATGATTCTCTCATAGATGTTTCTCTTCCTCTCCCTTCCTCTCTGAAATCAATTTTTAAAAAAATTTAAAAAATTAGAATGTCAAGAAATAGAAAACTAAACATAAGCTCCAAAAGAGCAGGGCCCTTGCCTAATTCATGGCTTTTTTCTTTAGCAGCTGGTTCAGTACCATGCTTGGCACATGGCAGGAATTCAACAAATACCTGTGAAATAAATGAATTTCTGATCTATGCAACCCCTCCATGAAGCGTTGCAGAGTCAAAGGATTGATTTGTCAGGCTTTAGTGAGCAATTGTCTTCACAAACCTCCCCATCTACCACAGATGTGCTATGCCAGGCCCACATGGTGTGTCAACTGGGTATTGAAGAGTCCAGCAAGACCACCTACTGAACAGAGGCCAAGGGGAGAGGAAATATTAAAATGCCAGAGCTAGAAAGGCGTGGACTCTCCTAGACCCCCCAAAGTACTAGGCCAAGCCAGTGTATGGTGATTGTTGTCTCTATAGCTTGAGCTTCCTTTGTGTTGAGATGAGAGGACTCCAGTGACCTCATAATGATGTGGTTGTGGGTCCTGGTCAGGAATGACAAGGCATATTAACCTTTCTGGAGGGTGGGTATTCCAGGCAGGTCTCATTCTCCTGTGACTGGCTTGGAGGGAACCAAGAGCCTCAGCTGGAACTGGGAATGAATTCTTCACCTTTCACTCGAGCTCCGGCTTCATCCAGCTCAAGGAAAAACTGGGACCAACCAGTTAGCAGATGAAACAGGTCCAGATACTGCTGGAGATGGTCCCGGAAGTTGCCACCCATCAGGAATGCACTCTGAGGTCCTGCTTGCCCCGTTGAAGGGAAGTTGCCATGCTAATGAAGTGCTGCGGTACTTGCTTCTCCTGCCTGGAGGCCACTGTGCACAGAGCCCAACGCCTGGCGCCTCACAGCCATTGGCCCAACCCTTTCAGTTCTTGAACTGGGTATGGGCTCACCCCACTTGCTGCCTAGGCCCTTCGACGCTCCCACCCAGAAATGACGACATGGCTAGGGAGGCTGTCAGTCTTGCTGTAATTGGGAGGAAACAGCTGCAGCTCCTTTGGCAGACTGAGTCACCAGCAGCCAAAGTTGGGGTTGTGTGGGCAGCTGAGGTGCTCAGGGCCCCTGCCTCACATAGTGAAGAGAGGAAGAAAGAGGTCAAATTTTAACCCAGATGGGAAAGTTGGTCCCGGGGGCAGTTTCGCTTCCTCTCCTCACTCTCAGGATGTGAGGAAGGGCATCATCTCCCCTTGCTGCCACACTTCCCTTTGGGAGAGGCTGGGGAGGGTTTATAAAAATCTCCTAGTGGAGACAACCTCCTCACTGGCCCCTAGGTGGCCACTGCTCCTTTCCAGCCACTTCACAGCAGAATCCAAATCCAGAACCCTGTGTTTCAGGGCCTGAGGGTGGTGAGGGGAGGACAGGTGGCTGGCCAGAGGCAAGGGGTGGGGGGCCAGGGGCAGTGGCCATTCTTAGCAGTTCCAGGAAAACAGGGCCTTTCTCCCAAGCACCCTGCGCAGGCTCAGTGGCAGCACTGGCCACCTGCCCTCCCAGGTGGGTTGCAAACCCCCACGGAGTGCCTTAGGGTGGAGAAGGTTCAGGCAAGGAAGACCACAAAGATGATGAAGAAGACAATGAGGATGAGGAAGATTTTGACCATGAGCCACCGGTTGGAGGTAACTGACTGAAAGTACTTGAGGATCTCTGAATGGGCGCCCTCAACATCCAGCTGGGCTCCCATCACGTTCTCGTCAATCCTGGATAGGCAAGGAGGAGAGGAAACGGGACACCGATTAGAAGGCATGCTACCGGAGCACATTTAGTGACATGGAAAGATGGTCACAGTGCGTAGGAGGAAAAAATGCTCAAGCATGTCTTTCCCTTCCCGCTCTGTTCCCCCGGGTGTGACCTTTGCCTTGCTCTCTCCTAAGCTCCAAGGGCCCTTCTGCCCCTGACTTGTTTCCTGAGCCCATGCAGTCCAGCTGGCTCGCTTCTACTACCTCTGTAACTTTCCAAATAAACTTCCTCTTATAATTTGAAACGAAGTGTTTATATGCCATAGGATCCCATTTTGTGTATGTGTGTGTGTGTGTGTGTGTGTGTGTATGTGTGTGTGTAGAAAAAGCTCTGGCGTCTGACTGGCGTGGCTCAGTGGTTGAGCATCAACCTATGAACCAGGAGGTCACGGTTCGATTCCTGATCAGGGCACATGCCCAGGTGGGGCTGGATTCCTATTGGGGGGCACACAGGAGCCAGCTCAATGATTCTCTCTCATCATTGATGTTTCTCTCTCTCTCTCCCTCTCCCTTCTTCCCTGAAATCAATATATATATATATTTTATATATATATATATATATTTTTTTTTTTTACAGAGGGGAAGGGAGAGGGATAGAGAGTTAGAAACATCGATGAGAGAGAAACATCCATCAGCTGCCTCTTGCACACTCCCTACTGGGGATGTGCCAGCAACCAAGGTACATGCCCTTGACCGGAATCGAACCTGGGACCCTTGAGTCCGCAGACTGACGCTCTATCCACTGAGCCAAACTGGTTAGGGCAAAAAATTTTTTTTTAAAAAAAGCTATAGAAAGGTAACATAAAGAAGTCTTGGCTCTGATTTGAAAATCAGCTCTGCAACTGATTATTACCTAATGACCCTAAGCCAGTCATTTAACCTCAAGTCTCATTTGCCTCAACTGAAAAAGGAAGGAAAAATGAAGGTAACACAAAACCTACTTATCTGAATTAACAAACATGAAGTGCTCATCCATACTAAGAGCCCCCAAATATTAGCTATTATGATTTTTCCTCATCAGTACTTACTTTTTAGAAATGTTTATTAAATTTATTGGGGTGATACTGGTTAATAAAATTATGTAAGTTTCAAGTGTACAATTCTATAATACATCATCTATATATTGTATTGTGTGTCACCATCCAAAGTCAAGTCTCTCAGTATTTATTGATTTTTGTCTAACAAGCATGTGTTGCATTTATAATGAGGGGGGGAGGTGTGAAAGTTCACAGGCCTACCCGGTCAGTGTAGCTCACTGATTGCGCACTGACCTATGAACCAAGAAGTCATGGTTCAATTTCCGGTCCGGGCACGTGCCCGGATTGTGGGCTCGATCCCCAGTGTGGGGCATGCAGGAGGCAGCCAATCGATAATTCTCTCTCATCATTGATGTTTCTATCTCTCTCTCCCTCTCTCTTCCTCTCTGAAATCAATAAAAAGATATTAAAAAAAAAAAGTTCACAGGCCATTCCAGTCAGGAAATCCTGGTTCTAAATAAGAGACAGAAAGAGAAACCTAATCATATGAACAGGAAGTCGGGGGATAAGAACAGCCCCACATTAGGAGGCCAAGTCTCTCCAGGGTATAGAGAAGTCCTCAGAGGAAGGGCAATCTCTCGAGAGCTTGCTGAGAAAAAGGAAACATTTCCCAGGCGGCCTGCATGCGCAATCCTGAGAGACAAACACCGTCCCGGCCTTTGCAAAGGGAGGCCCTGGGAGCAGAGACTTTTCCAAGTTGTAGGGATAGAAAAGTCAGTGGAGCAGGCAGTCCAGCTGGAGAGTGAGAGGAAAGGCTAGGCCGCGGCTGCAAGCCAAGGTCCTGCGTCATGAGGACTGAGCTCATCTGTCCAAGTACAGGAGCCTGGATTGTACTTGATTTCCTATCGACGTCAGAGAGGCTACCTAAATGATCAGGTTTTCTAGCTTTGGGCTATACTTACATTTCTCAGTGTGGGTGCATCTGTCATCTCATCTACATACACATAAAAGGCTAATATGCTAAGTGTTCGACCAGTCGCTATGGTGCACACTGACCAGCAGGGGGTAGACGCTCAACACAGGAGCTGTGGAGCTGCAGTGATTTGGCAGCAGAGGTTCTCAGGTGACACACCCAGAAACCGGAGAGGAGGGAGCCCGATTCCTCATGGGGCCATGCGATTCCACCCTTGGCTGTGGGTTATGTTGTTGCTAAGGCACTGTCGGCCCTTAATCTGGTTTACTCCACACCCTATACAACAGCAATTTTGCAGAGTGCCCTCTTGCACCCCAGGACCCCTCGGGGGATGTCAGAGAGCCGGTTTCGGCCCGATCCCCAGAGGCCAGGCTGAGGGATCCCACCTGCTGGTGGGACCCCACTCACTCCACAGACGCTGGGAAGGGATCACAGGAGGTTGGCTCCAGGGCGTGTCCGGCCCATCTTGCCCAGTCTCACCCTGCCAACCACCTTCTAACTCATTTCCTTTCAATGTGCACGAATCCGTGAACCGTGTCACTAGTATTCAATCAAGCTCACATTGGCTTTAACAAAAATGGAAAAATAATAAATGCAATCTGGCATATAAAAGATTTAAAATCGAAGTCCATGAATGAAACTAATAAAAGAGAACACGGGTGGTAAAAAAAAACAAACAACAACCTACAAATCAATAGGACACTGAGAGGAAATAGCAGGGGAGTTATAAAACAAAAATGAATGAGGCAGAAAATAATGGCTTGGGAAGGAGAGGATAAGGAAAATGGAAAAGAAAAAGTTTACATGGGGAGGAGGACAAAAGAATGTCTTATTGCTGGCTCAGTAGTTGAGTGCTGACCCATGAATCAGGAGGTCACGGGTTTGATTCCCAGTTAGGGCACATATCTGGATTGTGGGTTTAATCCCCAGTGTGGGGCATGCAGGAGGCAGCCAATCAATGATTCTCATCATTGGTGTTTCTATCTCTCTCTCTCTTCCTCTCTGAAATCAATAAGAAAAAAAAAAAAAGAATGAAGGTGTACACCTCAAACTGATATAAAATAATATTGAATGTAAACTGTAATTTTAAAAAATTTTTTAAAGAATGAAGTCCCTGGCTGGTGTGGCTCAGTTGGTTGAGTGCCATCCTGTGCACTGAAGGGTCTCTGGTTTGTTTCCTGGTGAGGACATACGCCTGGGTTTTGGGTTCAGTCACTGGTCAAGGTACATGCAGGAGGCAGCCGATTGATGTTTCTCTTTCACATCGATGTTTCTCTCTCCTTTCTCTCTCTCTCTCTTCCTTCCTCTTTCTCTAAAATCAATACAAAAACAAAAAAGGAAAGTGAAAGAGATATTTTCAAATAAAAGTAAAAGAACTTGTTAGCAGATCTGCACTACAAAAAATGCTGAAGTTCTGCCCTAGCCAATCTGGCTCAGTGGACAGAGCGTTGGCCTGTGGACCAAAAGGTACCAGGCTCGATTCCGGTCAAGGGCACATTCCTTGGTTGCAGGCTCCTCCCTGGCCCAGGCCCTGGTCAGGGCACGTGCAGGAGGAAATCAATCGATGTTTCTCTCACATCCATGTTTCTCTCTGTCTTTCCCTCTCTTTTCCACTCTCTCTAAAAGACCAATGGAAAAATATCCTGGGGTGAGGATTAACAAAAAACAAAAAATGATGAAGTTCTTCAGGTTAAAGGGAAGTGATACCAGATTGAAAGTGGGTATTCAGGAAGGAATGAAGAGCACTGGAAATGGTAAAAACCTGAGTAAATATAAAAGACTGCTTTTTCCTCTTTCATTAAACTTTAAATATATGTTTTTAAAAATATAGTTTTATTGATTTCAGAGAGGAAGGGAGGGAGAGAGAGAGAAGCATCAATGATGAGAATCATCCATTGGCTGCCTCCTGCATGCCCCCTACTGGGGATCAAGTCTGCAATCTGGGCATGTGCCCTGACTGGGACTCAAACTCTGACCTCCTGGTTCATAGGTCAACGCTCAACCACTGAGCAACACCAGCCAGGCCGTATGTGTATTTTTAATAATGAATCTCCCCTACTAGGCTTTAAGTTCTGCAAGTGCAGGGATGTTTCTCTCTTTTGTACAAGGCTGTACCTATATCTCTATAACCCAGTGATTTTCAACCTTTTTCATCTCACAGCACACATAAACTACTAAAAAATGTACTATATTTTTTGCCGATCTGACAAAAAAAAAATAATTTTGATTCATTCACATAAGTAGGCTATTGCTGTGTTGGCTGTTGTCATTTTTTTTTTTTAGTCCTCACCCGAAGATATTTTCTCCATTGCTTTTTAGCCATGTGAAAGACACATCGATTGGTTGCCTCTTGCACCAGCCCCCAATGGGGCCAGGAATCAAACCTGCAACCCAGGTATATGCCCTTGACCTGCCCTTGACTGGGAATTCAATCCATGACCCTTTGGTGGGTGGGCTGATGCTCTAACCACTGAGACACTGGCCAGGGCTCTTGTCATTTTTTATTTGACAATCTAAGGGGAAAGAAAAAAGGTTAGTGTCCCTCACTAAATGGTCAGATACTGTATATTTTAAAAATTCTTGCTTCACACGGGTTGAAATTGCTGCTATAACAGATTGAATGAATAGTAAGTGCCAAAGAGGAAGAGCTGATAAAATGACTCTTACAGCCCCAGCTGGTTTGGCTCAGTGGATAGAGCGTCTGCCTGCGGACTGAAGGGTCCCAGACTGATGTTTCTCTCTCTCCCTCTCCCTTCCTCTCTGAAATCAGTAAGAATATATATGTATATTTTTAAATGCCTCTGAAGCAGCAGGAGGCGCGGAGGAGCAGAGAGGCCCTCCTGTGGGTGGGCTCTGCCTCCCTCCTCCTCATCCTGTCCCTCTCTGTCCCTGCTCATGCTGGTCTTCTTTGATTCTTGAATACAGCAAGAATGTCCCATCTTAGAGCCTAAGCTGTCCACACTGCCTAGAATACTCTTTGTCTCTTCTTTGCATGGTTGGATCCCTCTTGTCATTCAGGTCTCTGCTTTAATCAACATCATGGTCTTCAGAATGGCCTCTCTGCCACCCTATCTGATACACCACCCTAGTCAGTCACTGTCTTAACACATCGCCCTACTTTAACTCTCTGTATACTCCTTTCACTGTCTGAAAATGTCTTGTTAATTCTTTTCAGCAGGGTGCGTACGCATTCCACACACACTTACAAAAGTTAAGCTCCATGAAACAGAAACTTTGCTTTCTACTCGTTGCTGTGTGCCCCGCACCTAGAACAGAACCTGACAGGGAACCGGTGCTCCACACACTGTGGAATCCATGGAAGCAGGTGAGCTGTGCCTGGGGGTGGGCAGGCATTCTACTCTCCCAACGACTGTCCCTGGGGACCTTTAGGGAGAGAAAGCTCTTCTGTTTGGGGTGAGAGAGAGAGAGTCTCACCTCTGAATGGTTTCTTCCTGTTCCTTAACCATGTGTGCCAACTGCTGAAAGATGGAGCCCAGCTCAACGATTGTGGACTCGATGTTCTGCATGGTGTCTGCCCGGCTCTGGATGTAGGAATCCTGCAGAGCAGGGAGCAGACATGAGCACTGGGAGCTTCTGAGGGCAGGGCCTGCCTCCTTAGGACCCGCCCAGCTCGCCATTTCACACGGCACATTCCAAACACTGGCTTGTGGCCCACAGAGAGCATGGGGGCAACGCCTCCCCAGCTCAGAACCTATGTACCTGCTCGTCAATGAGCTGTAGCTGCTGGCTGGTCCGAGCGTCCAACATGTTGATGGCCACATCCCCGGAGGCACGGGACTCTGCCCCCAAAACCACAGCACCGCCTCCTGAAGGAAGAAAGAAGACATGGTGTGTTTTTATTGGTTAAAAGCAGTTTCAAAGCCTGCATGCTCTGGATTTGAATCCCACTTACTAGCCTCATAACCCTGGACAAGTCATTTAACCCCTTTTGAGCCTCCGTTTCCTCACCTGTAAAATAGGGAATAATAATAGTTGTTTTCTCAGAGGGTGGTTGTGAAAATTAAATGAGAGCATGTGAATAAAGTGAGTGCACAAACATATCAGTAACTGTTATTCTTCTGGACATGACTGAATTCATCCCCAAGAGTGAGAACGTGGGAAACCAAGTGCGGATCAGTAACACCATCAATGAAGTTGACCTCTGAGAGAGAAAGCTTAGCAACTTCCTTGCCCCCATATTCTCTCACCCAACCCCTGCCCTTAGAAGATGCCATCACAACCAGAGTAACTAAGCTGTACCCCTCCGGACTCCCCGTACGGCCTGTGACTTACCCAGGTGGTTGGGGGCAAGGGGCAGGGCTGACACAGGCGCTCGGGAGAACTGCTCCCGCCGGGTCCTCTGCTGCTTCAGGTTCTGGGGTTGGGGAAGAAATGCAAAGGTCCTGAGGCTTCTGGAAAGCATGTATGTTAGAGACCCTTCCTGTCGGCCATGACCCTGTCATCCTTCGCTTGCCTTCCACCTGTCTCTCCCATTTCCCTCCGGACCCTTGTCCCCAGACTCCGATCCCTCCCACACAGATTCCACTCACCTCTGTCCTTACTTCTAAGACGGATTTGAAGTCGTTAGACATGGAAGCCAGCTTTGACTAGGAGAAAAAGAGAAAGGTCAGCAAAGGAAGACAAGACCTTCTTGCCTTTCATCTCCCCGTCTCCCGCACCCAGGTCCCACCTGCAGGGAGACCACTATGGTGTTGGAATGGGTCTGCAGGTGCCGGCCGCTCTGGCTGCCCTTGGCCCTCACAAAATCCTGAAGCTGGGCGATCTGCTTGTTGAGGCTATTGATATCCTGGTGAAAGAGGCAACAGAAAAACAGTATCAGCCAAGGAGTCCTCGGCCAGCGCCTCTCCCGCATGGACATCTCTGGCAGGGAAGACAGAGTGGGAGTTACTGGCAGTTACAAGTCAGCCCAAAGGGGCCCGCTGGGATTTTCCAAGCTCTGCAGTTTTCTCAGGTTCATCCCTGCAGAGGAGAAACAAAGAGATGAAATCTGGCCGCGTCGATGTGTAAATAAATGACTCGTTTACCCCTCCACCCTACTGCCCTACTTCACACCATGACGCCAAGTTCAGGGTCACAAAAACACTTAAAAGGCCAAAATCTTAAACCCAGATCATGTTAACCAACAAAGCGCCTATGTGGTACTCAGGAGAAAAGAGGAGTCAAAGGCAGCATGGTTTTCCAAAAGCATCACTGAAACAATCTCTATATACAGAATTCCTTTCAGGCTGGCGCCATTTTGAGGCTCAGCCCATCTGGTTTTCCAGATGACCTAATACATTCATATTACTTAAGGGGAAAAAAAAGTTTACCGCGCCCTGTCCGGATAGCTCAGTTGGTTTAGAGCATCATCCCAATATGCCAAGGTTATGGGTTAGATCCCTGGCCAGGGCACATACAAGAAACAGCCAATGACTGCATCAATAAGTGGAACAACAAAGTGGTTTCTCTCTCTCTCTCCCTTCCTCTCTCTAAAATCAATTTTTTAAAAAATTAGCCCTAGCCAGTTTGGCTCAGTGGACAGAGTGTTGGCCCATGGACTGAAGGGTCCTGGGTTCCATTCTAGTCAAGGGCACATACCTTGTTTGCAGGCTTGATCCCCAGCACTGGTTGGGGCGCGTGCGGGAGGCAACCAATTGATAAGTCTCTCTCAGATCGATGTTTCTCTCTCTCTCCCTCCCTTCCACTCTCTCTAAGACTCAGTGGAAGAATGTCCTCAGATGGAGATTAACTAACTAACTATCATTGCAAGAATGAAAGCTGTGACTTGTTCAAGGTCACACACAAGAGCAGCACAGCCAGGCTTTCTATACCAGACCAATGCCTCATCCACTCCCCAACCCAGCCTGCCGAGGGCCACACTAGACAAAGGAGATGAAGGAGGCTGCCAGCGAATGGCAGAGAAGAAGTGTGGCCCAGGGCAGCCAGCCAGAGAGGAATCAGAGGAAGAAGAAAAGGGAAGGGAAAGAGGCCTAGAATAGTAAGTTCAAGAAATAGACGAGTCCTAACTGGTTGCTCAGTAGTTAGAGTGTCAGCCCCGGACTAAAGGGTTCTGTTCTGATCAGTGGGAAAAAATATCCTCAGGATTCACAAACAGCAAGAGAAATAGGCCAGATGGAAAAACTAGATCAGACAACTTCTATCACGCAGTCTCCCCAGTTAGCATCTCCCCACAGAGTACCCTCGCCCCAACCATTCTCTACACTCTCGGTCCATTTCCTCTGCTGACTGTGGGTCTGTCCCTTTGGAAAGCTGATGCAGCCTCCTCATAGTCATGGGTCCAAATCGACATTCCAGGTTTTTTCCCTTAAGATCTCCTCTCCCAGGGTTCTAGCTTAGAAAACGGCACCATGTCCCGCCACGGTGCCCAAGCTAGAAGCTTCTAAATCACATACTCGCACACCCCCAACCCACCTACCCACACACCACAACACAACCACGTTCTATTGAGCGTTACTGTGTACACACAACAGCAACCTCGGGTTTGCTTACTGTGTGTCATGCCACTTGCTAAGCAGCTTACAACTTCCTTCGCACTTAAACTTAACACAGAAAACGATGTTTAATTCCCCGCTCAAAGCTGTTCCCCCCTCTTCCTTCTTTTCCATTTTGGTAAATGGCACCGCCCTTCACCAGTTGTTCAGACCCAAAACTTAGAGCCATCCTCAATTCCTCTTTTCCCTTAGTCCACATGGAACCGAGAAAGAACCCCAAGAACCCAGCTGAACCTGCCCACTCACCTCCTCTGCTGAACCCGTCCTCGCCCAACGGCCTGTTCTCGCTAAAAAAGCTCCACGAGCCTCCTGAGCGACCTTCCTCCTAGAGCTTGTCCCGCGACAATCCGTTCTACACGCAGCCGGCGGGATCCTCTCACCCAAAACGGGACTCACACCCTCTGCTTCCCATCTTCCCAGGGCTTCCCACTACATGTGAAACCCAACCCAGACTCCCGCCTGGCTGCACAGATGCTACTAGTACATGGTCTGGCCCCCCGTTTCTGATCTCATCCCCTCCCGGTCTCCTTCGCACTTGCTATGCTGCGATCACTTTAGTCTCTTTCATGTTTACCAAAGTCGCCCACACTTTAGAACCTCTTCCTTTGCTTTTCTCACTTTCTAGAAAGTGCTCCCACCAGATCTTGTTGAATGGCTTTTCTCTAACCATTCAGGTCTCAATGCCACTTGTTTACCCCCATCCTACATCGCCCCATCTAAAGTAGGCCCCTACCCTGAGTAACCCACTTACATGATTTCTTTTTAAAATATATATATTTTTATTGATTTCAGAGAGGAAAGGAGAGGGGGAGAGAGAGAGAAACATCGAAGATGAGAGAGAATCACTGATAGGCTGCCTTTTGTACACCTGCCACTGGGGATCCAGGCATGTGCCCTGACGAGGAACTGAACCGTGACCTCCTGGTTCATAGGTCGACACTCAACCACTGAGCCACACCAGCCGGGCTTACATTATTTCTTATTGAAAAATTTACCAGTATACCGGTATAGTGCCTACTTTACTCATTGAGAAAGGAATTTCCCGAAGACAGGAACCACACATCTGCCTTGTGGCTGCCCAATCCCCAGAACCAGGCAGCCAAACGCACTCAATAATGTGTGACTGGAAATAAACAAGGGACTCCTGACCACCACCCTGTGAGGTGGGTACTGTTATCAGCTCCTTGTTATTTGTAAGGGAACTGAAGCTCAGCGCAGGTAGGTACTTAGGTCACATCGGAAGGGGTGCACCTGGGATTTGAACTCGTCTGCCTGAACCCAGTTGTGGTTCTTGAGTGCCTATGCAGTAACACCCCAATAGTTAGCGGAGCCCTCTTTCCTACCCAGCACAGCATGTCTTGAACGTGTCTCCCTCCGGCCTCCGCCAGCAGCATCTCGGTCCTGATAACTGCAGGCACTGCGGCAGGTCCTTGCCAGCCTCCCTGCCCCGTGCTCCAGCGTTTTCTCCCCTCCTCCCAGGCCCTTCAACCTCAGTTTGTTCTTATTACACTGTGCGGAGAGGGGGAATCACAGTGTGGAGACCTGTGCGAGACCAGTGTCTCTCAGGCAGAACCGGGATCCAGGTTCTAACGGTCTTTGCAGCCCACGGCATTCAGAGTGGTTCCATCCTCCTTACAGGGCCCACAATGAGCCCCACAGCCAGCCACCAATCTACCTTTACAGCCTCATCCATCTCCTGCCAATGACTCAGTCAGTCAGCAAGTACCGAGCACCTACCAAATGCCAGACCTGTCGCAGGCATTTGGGGTTCATCTGTGAACAAGCAGAAAGGAAAAAGATCTCTGCTCCTGGGCCCCTCCTTTTTGGAGTGGAAATGAGGTAGTTGGGAGAGAACAAAGACAAACAAAAAACATAACGAGCTAATTATACAAAACACTGAAATTTCAGATTCAAGTGCTTTAAGGAAGAAAACAGCCCTGGCCAGGCAGCTCAGTTGGTTAGAGCATCGCCCTGACAGACCAAGGTTGCGGGTTTGATCCCCGGACAGGGCACATACAAGAACCAACCAATGAATGAATGGAACAAATCAATATTTCTCTTTCTCTCTCCCCTTTCCTCACTAAAATCAATCAATTAAAAAAGTAACCTATACTAATAAAAGTGTAATATGCTAATTAGACCAGATGTCCTTCTGGACGAAGCTGGGGCTGCGAGGAAAGCCCGGGTCCGGAGGGAAGCCGGTGCCGGCAGCCGGGGGAAGGAAGGCCTACTGTTGCACGAATTTCGTGCATCGGGCCTATAGTTATTAAATAAATAAATAAATAAATAAATAAATAAATGCAAAGAACAGAGCGAGGTAAGGGAGATCAGAACTCTGGTTGCTGGAGTTATTAAACAGCACAGTCAGGTAGGCCTCCTGAGCAGGTGACATCTGAACAAGGCCTGAACCCTCCCTGTTAGAAGCCATACCTCTGCACTCAGTTTTCTCTGTCTGGAATTTTTTTCGCTGGCTCTATCCAAGCTTTAAAACTAGCTCAGCCCTAACCGGTTTGGCCCAGTGGATAGAGCGTCAGACTGCGGACTGAAAGGTCCCGGGTTCGATTCCCGTCAGGGGCATGTACCTTGGTTGAGAGCACATCCCCAGTAGGGGGCATGCAAGAGGCAGTTGATCGATGTTTCTCTCTCATCGATGTTTCTAACTCTCTATCCCTCTCCCCTCCTCTCTTTAAAAAATCAATAAAATATATTTAAAAAAAAAACAAAACTAGCTCAGATTTGACGTCCTCTAAAAAATCTTTTCCAGTGTTCCAGACTATTTCATTCATTTTTTAAAATCTTTATTGTCGAAGGTATAACACATGCCCCCCTTTCATTCATCTTTTTGTAAAATGTTTTCTATACACTCATCTTCTACTCATATTATGGGAATACTCTTCTAGACAATAAACCCTTGAAGGCAGAATCTTGTCTCATGTTTGGGAGACAAGTGCCCAGTGCAGTGTTTTGTACACAGTAGATAATAAAACAGTATCTAGAGACTCAGTGGATGAGCAAGATGTTTGATGTTTGGGGCTAACTCCAGAAACTTGCTCTGGGCCTCCGTGGCAATGGAAAACGATGGAAGTGATCTGACTGGAAACCTGGGCCCTCTCGATAGCTAGTCGCTCACCTGTTTGATGATATACGTTAGCTCCTCAATCTCCACTGCTTTATCATCAAAGAGGGACTTGCGCTTTGCCACTGCGGAGATAAAGAAGCCACGACGGGTGACCTCAAAGAGAAGGCTCAGGGAGTAGGGTTCCTCCACCCTCTTTGGTCCACTGCCCGTTCCTGTAACACCCCAAGAACACTCACAGATCGTCAGCTTCTCCAGCTTGGCGAAGGTGTTGCTGAGGTCTTTCCCAATGCGCCTGCAAGCAAGCGTTAGTGAGAGCACCGTGGGAGAGAGCAGGAGAGGGCCTCCTCCCCCATCAGCTCCAGCACAACCCCTTCCAGCCCTCACAGCCAGGCCAGCAGAGGCAGCCTCCTCCTCAGACACTGCCTCAGCCCACTCCACTCCTCAACTCACTTGGCCATGAGGGAGAATTCACTGCGCTGCCGGACAGCACGGAGAGCTGGCTTGTTTGTCTGTATCCCATTCTGAAAAGCAATGTCAAGAGGTGAAACTCGAATCCCCTTCCCCATCACCAGCTTTCACTGTTCTCTGCTGTCCGCTAAACTCTCTCTAGGACTGACCGTATCCTCTACCAGCGGGTCTACCGGGAGTAGCGGGAGTAGCAGGTGAGAGCCCAGATTTGAAGACAGAGAGACCCGGGTTCAAATCTTGATTCCACCACTTAGTAGCTGTGGAGTTTGGGGCAAGTTACTTACACTGTTCTGAGTCTGTATCTCCCTCCTACAAAACGAAGACAACCCCCACACCTCCTTATGGGTGTTGCTAAGATTAAAGGACACGGGGTGGTAAAAAGTATTTCAGCCGAATAGCTGGTGCACTGCAAAGACTAAATACACAGCTCGGATTACCATCCTATTCTTCTGATCTGGGAACCAAAGAGGATAACGGGAGAGCTCTTGGAGAGTAGAGTGCAGAAGAGCAGGTGTTAACAAGGGCTGAGCAGTACAAGTATTTGAAACTGCAGTCACTCGGGCCCCTCCTACATTCACCAAGTCTGGATCAAGGCAAGGGAATGCAATTTCTTAAAACGCACTCCAAACTGATTTTGGTAAAAGTTACTTATCTAGACAACTCCCTTCAGTTTACAGATACAGAAACAGAGCGAACTTGTGGCAGCACTATACCAGAGCTAGAATTCAAAGTGGTTGTCTCTGGGCTAGAGGCTCTTTCTAGAACCTGTTCCTTATCCAAACCCAGTATCTCTCACCCCGAGGTATTCCTTCAGGACCAGCAACCCTACCCTCCAGGTTCCTCGCACGAGAAGGTCTGTGTGTCTGCCTGTAGGTAGCGAGCCCACCTCTTCACAGATCCCACGCCCCCTCCAAGCCCGGCCAGTTCCCCATCAGGCTCCGAGCAGAGCGCACCCCTGCCTTTCGTTCCCACGCCCGGCCCTTACCTGACGGCTCTGCAGGAATTTGCAGGCAGACAGGAACTCCTGGGTCCGATCCCGGCAGGACATGGTGTCGGGAGGGGGAGGGACCAGGGCCACTGGGGGGGGCGGAGGGGCGATGTCGCTGCTGCTACTGCCAGCAGTTGCAGGGGACAGGACCTGTGTCTTTGAGAGACCCAGGTAGACACCCTGATCCGTGTTCTTAGTCCCGTAGCGTTTCCGCGGGATCATTGAGACGCATAACCTCGGACTGTTGTGGAGGGGAGAGTGTCATTCCCAGGCCTCTCCCCCAGAAACTGCCCCCAACCAGCAAATCCTTGCGCCCCGAAGCCAACCGCAGATCCTGGGGCCGGCGGGCAACAGGCTGGGCCCCACTTCCTCTCCGGCCTAAGCCGCTCCCTCCTCACTCTTCTTCCAACTTGGCTCGGGCAGCGGGAGCGCGGGCCGGGGGCCCCGAAGCAGAGACAGGGCCCACGGCAGGACCCGCGGCCCCAAAGCTCCAGCTCGGCCTGTGCAACTGCCCCCAGGCCCTAGCTGGGCCCTCCTGATCCACGGGTTCCTTCCCCGCCTCGGGGAGAAAGGGTAACGGACCTTCGGAGGGGGGACACACTTCGGTGGGCGGAGGGGGAGAAATCTCCGGGTGTTTATTTGAAACAGGAAGTCCCACCCCCCGCTCAAGCTCCGCCTTCTAAGGGAACTGCAACTAATGATTAGCTCATGCCGACGTCTTTCTTAATAGAGGCTTTCCTGATTGGACACCGAGGTATTCGCTCACCCCGAGCCCTGCCGGCAAGACTTGTCCGCTCGCCCCTGGTTTCCTTCCCCCCCACCCCCCACCCGTCATCGCCCCCGGAAAGCCGCGGCCCCTAGCTGACACGGCGGCCAGACCACTCTTAGAGCAAGTCCTACCTCCTCTCCGCCGCCTGCCGCCGCCGCCGCCGCCACAATCTCCTGGGCCGTCACCGCCTACTCCCCGGGCGAGGAAGCCTCCGAAACTCGACCAAAGACTAGGAGCCGCCACGTCACCCACACGTAACCCCACCCCCGCTGACTAGAGGGCGGTACCACGCCTATTCCAGCCCGGCACCCCGGGGACACGCCCCCCACCCAAATACAAGAACGACTACGCTCTCCCATTGGCTAGGCCGCTGTCGTGACCCCGCCCCTAGGAACTAGAGCGGCGGCCCATTGGGCGGGGCCAGCCTCTGGGGAGGAGCCTTAAAGAGACCGCAGCCCGGGTGGTGCGGGCAGAGGGCAGCAGAGGCACAAGCGCTCCGGCTAGTACACGTTAGAAACTTTATTCTCTGGAAGCTGGGGAGGACTGAGAGCCGGGCAGGGGTCATCCCTTCTCCGGCTCCTCCCGGATTTCCTCCGGGTTCTCCTGGAACGTACACCCATGCTTGATTGACTGCCTCTTGGTTGTCCGCGAGCCCCGACGGCTGAACAAGGACAGCCGCCGCCACAGCACGGTGATCAAAAGGCTTTCGTTAGACTTGGGCTTCTGGTGGTCCGACGAGTTCTCATCGACCTCCTCGGTGTCTGCGAGGATGAAGCGGCCGCTGAACTCCACTCCCCCCGCCACCCTCCCCCCCCTGACCCTTCTCCCGTTCCCTGAGCACCCCAGCTGTGTTTCTGTTCCCACCTTCCTCGACTTCCTCCGATCTGGCCGCCTTGGGCTTCCCACTGGGGGTTTTCAAGTCCTTGTCTTGGCAGCAGCCCATGGCCCGCTAGGGCCCGGCTCGCCCGGCACTGGGTGCCACCACTCCAGCCCACTGGCTCCCACCGCTTTTGTGACGTCAGAGATCCCGCCGCCCCAGCTCAGAGAGCAGCCGCCCCTTTAACTTCTCCCATCACAAAAGGCGCAGGGTCACGATGGGTGTCAGCTGTTTATTTACAAAGTGAGCTCAGGCCCCTCAGGGGCTGGCAGAGCCAGGCCGCTTCTTCTTTCTCAGCCCGGTTGGGAAGACCCCTGATGTCTGCTCCAAAGCAGGGCGCTGGCGCTTGGCAGCTGCCTCCAGGGAGGCCCAAAGTTCATCTGCCTCTGCGTCTGCCGAGGACAACTTAGCCGGCTCTGGAGGCTCCGGCGGCTCATCCTAGTGAGTGGAGAAAAGCTTAGGAGTCGGGCACAGGCAGACCCACAGGGGAGGGGGCTTAACGGGAAGTCATCTTGCCAGGTAACCACCACTTGCATTTCCTGCTCTGGGAACAAGTCCCATCCATGTCCCTGTGTCACTCTTGGCAGGAACCCTGTCAGAACTATAACTATTTTTAAAAATATATATTTTATTGACTTTTTACAGAGAGGAAGGGAGAGGGATAGAGAGTTAGAAACTTCGATGAGAGAGAAACATCGATCAGCTGCCTCCTGCACATCCCCTCCTGGGGATGTGACCACAGCCAAGGTACATGCCCTTGACCGGAATCGAACCCGGGACCCTTGAGTCCGCAGGCAGAGGCTCTATCCACTGGGCCAAACCGGTTAGGGCAGGACTATAACTATTAACACTCCTCACAAAAATGCAGTAATGCGGCAGGGAGATGGGCAGGGCCAGTCTCTGTTCCAGCTGCTTCCTTCTGCTCCCCGCAGGAAAGAAAGCTCACATGTATGCTCTTGGTCCCAACCTTCCCAGACCCCACTGCTTACCTCCCAGTTATCCCTGCCCGACAGAAGAAGGCAGTTCAGCTGAGACTTCAGATAAACCTGCAAGAGACCAGGGACCTTAAGGAGTCAAACACAGTGAAATGGACAGAAGTATGAGTGGGGGGCACAGGAGACAGCAGGCTCTCACCTTGTGCTCCAGGCCCCGTGGGTTCCGGATCCTGTGTACCCTCAGGATTCTGTCCAAGCCACAGGAGGCTAGGAGAGGCTTCGAAGGGTGGCACTGCAGCCCTCTGACACTGCCTGCCAGCCCCTTCAGGCAGCCCAGGAGGCGCCCTGGAGAAAGGGGGAGGCGTCAGGCGAGCCACGCCACCAGTAGTATTTATTGTTGAAATCACTTTTTATTTCGGGATTTAATTCCTAACATAACGCTGAGATAGGAGTTACCATTATATCCATTTTACAGGTCAACTATGCACAGGGAGTTGAAGTAACATGTCCAAGGTCATTCAGCTTTTGAAACCAGGATTTGAACCCAAACTGATGCCTAAATGAGGGTTCAACTGCCCCAGAGGGAATCCTGCCCCACCCTCCTGCGAGGCTCCCCAGTCCACTACCTTGCCGAAGGTCAATTTCTGCCAGCTGCCCATGAGTGTTTCCTACGATCACCGAGCTGAGAGGAGAGCAGAGGCAGGTGGGGTCAGCAGGAGCCTCCTGAAGCCCTGACCCCACACCTGCCCTCTAAACACTCACTTGCCCCCGGGAGTGAGAGTCATAGCGGTCAGCGGGTACTCTCCATAGGTGGCCTCGAGGACTGACCGGCGTTGGGGGGAGGCTGGATCATAGACACGGACCTGGAAGAAGACTTAACTGTCACAAGGGTACCCTCACCCTGTACCCCCACATCTTCACCCCACACCCCATCTTCACACCCTCCTTCATATACTGCTTTCCTGTTTATGATCCACTCTTAGAGAAACTTTCTCATTTGAGTGTGTGTGTGTGTGTGTGTGTGGGGGGGAGACAGCTTAGCAGCATAAATGGACAGGGCAGAGGGGAGTGACCCCCCAGGTGGGGAAGTGGCAGCATTCCCTGGTCTTCATGTGTGACCATCCCATCCCCCCATACTCCCATCTTGGTGGAATGGAAAAGCAAGTCAGTCCAATTGTCAGCGGATGCTGAATTTCAAGCCAAGAGGTTTAGCCTGAACAAGGGAGGACAGAGGAAGTCCTCAAGTGTATTTGTAGCAGAAGCATATCACCAAGATCAGACTTCAATATGCAGGGCAAAGGCAACAGCAAATCCATGACCCAGTCCTGCCTGGGTCAGGGCTGTAACGATCCCCAGCCGGGCCCTTCCTATGGGGCTGAGGAGCTGAGGCCAGAGGAGAGGCAAGCCTGGGTCCTGCAGCAAATCAGAGGCTGCATCAGGACCAGAGACCCAGTTCTCTGGACATGCAGCCCAATGTCCTCTCGTGACACCTGCTGTCAATCTACTGTGAAGGAAATGCTCCCTCCTCCCCTCCCCGCCTCTCTTCCAGGTGGAAGAACATGAAGAGTCCTAGTTCAGAAAACGCCATCCCAGAACACAGTAAGAGAAGGCTACGGGGCTGAAGTGGACACAGGCGTGCTCCCTCCTCTGAGAGCTCAGGTTTGGGAGGGTGGTGAGAAGGATGGCTGTGACAAAGGACGGGGCAGAGCCTCTGCAGGGAGCTGTTTCCTTAGGAGGCTGCTTAAGCCCAGTAGGAGGTCAGGGTGGGGTGGTACCTCACCTGGTGGTACCCTGTACAGGTGACGAGCTTCTGCGACTCAGGGAGGAACTGTATGTCCTGGTCCCAGATGGGAACTCGCAGGTCAAGCCAGTCATTCCGTACCTGGGGGAGCGGGTCGATGGGGGACAGGGCTGTGGCGAGCTAGTGTGCCCCTCCCTATCGCCCTCCGTCATCATCCCCTAAAGCCCATCTGGTCTCTGACGCATGGTCAGCGGCCCCAGCCTCCCTGGGTCCGAGGTCACTCACGTTCTTGGCTCTGAACACAGGCTCCTCAGACCCCTGCAGGTCCCAGACCTTCAAAGCATTCTCCTTCCCACCTGTGGCAACTACGTGGGGGTGCACTGGGTCTTGGCGCATCCTACACACCCCAGGGCCCACCCTCAGTTCCAGGAGCTGAAAAGAATGAGAGATGAGAGGGGAAATGAGAGTCAATTCCTGGATCCCTAATCCTCCTCCCCCAAAGCCCTCATTCAACTCCTACCCTGGCTCCCACCTTCCCCAACCACGAGGATCAGGGCAGGGGAGCCTCACTGGGTCAGAGGAGGTCTCCTTGTCGTCGTCACCCCAGACTCGGAGAACCCCAGAATCCACACACGTGATGAGGGTGCTGCAGGGAGAGGAAGGATAGAGTCAGGGTTAAAAAAAAAAAAGTGTGAAACTATTCTCTAAGCCCAGTCGACCCACTCCCACATTAACTAGACCCCAACCAGTCCTCCTCCTCAGGAGGAGGTAACGTAGGTCTGGACAATTTTTGGCTTCAGTGTATATTATTTCATTTCCTTGACAGAGTGAGGTTTTATAAGTGAAGAAACGGAGGCTCTGAGCCATTAAAAGTTTTGCCCACTCAGCAAATGTCAGAACCAGAAATCAAGTCTGTGATGCTCCAACGCAAAGTGCCTTTGTAACCCACAGCTACATCTGGGGGCACCTGGCCCTGCCCGTCTTTCTGAACCTTTCTCCGGTCACCAGGGGTCAGGATCAGTAACTCTGAAAGGACGGAAATGGCACCGGTCGGGAGTTAGGGTTTGGCCAAAGTCAAACACCAGCTTCAGTTCCCTGTCTGGGCTCCACGTGCTCATTGTCAGTCTCCCCCACAGTGTACCCCTCCCAGGGAGCCCAAGCGAGTCTTCCCTAGAAGCTGCCAGCCCCAGCCTATGCTTTCTCACATTGCCCACCCTCTCCACTTGGTTCAGGGTCTATATCGCCTGCCTGGGCTGTGGCAATAGTCTCCCAACTGCTCTCTCCCCAGCTCATCCTCCACACCCCTACAGGCTCACAGCGTGGGCCACAGCACTGCTGCTCAAAACCCAGTAACTCCCCACCGCCTACAAGACAAAAATGGCACGGACAGCCCTCTACAATGAATCCCAACCTACCTTGCCCATCTCGTGTTAAAATGTTTCCTCGGGTCCACCCCGCCAAATGCAATTTATCTTCCCTGCAAGGTACCCTGTGGCCCGACACCAATCCTTGGCCTCTGCCCAGGCAGTGGCCTCTTTCTAAAATGCCCTTATCCCTCTCTCTACTGTCAACATTTTACCAATCCTTCAAGGCCTGCCTTAAGCTTCTCACTCCCCGAGCCTCCTAGACCTCACCTGCCAGAATTAGAGCCACCAAACCCACACAGCCTGCCCGCAACCTCCTCTTCATTTAGAAAGAAAGCGAGGCCAG